GGAAGGTCAGTGCTGGGGAGGCAGCCTTCAGCATGGGTTTGGGGTTTCTCATGTTCCAGAAACAGTGGCCTGAGTCAAAGATAACCACCAGAGCCAGGGAAGGAGCCATCAGCCTGGCTCTTCCCCACAAGCTCCAGCAGTTGAGTGTCACCTGGGACTTCAGGCTCTTTTCTGTATTTGGGCCAGAAAATGCGTCTTGTTTTCAGTTTAAGATGTAGGGAGTGTTAAAAAGGCAAAAATGGTGTCAGAAGTCACAGGGCAGGAAAACCCTTAGTCCTGGGGCATCCGGCCGTGCTGGGTCAGATGTCCTGCCAAGGCTCTGGGCGCCAATGTTGTGGGGAGGCCCCAGGAGCAGGTGTCAGGACCAGTGCGCAGGGCCCTTGGCTCTCAGGTCCAACCTCGAGTTAGAGCAGACACAGGCTGAGGCAGTGAGTGTGCTCTGAAAGGAGTCATGCCCGAGTAAACAGTGCAGATGACAGATGGTGCCAACGGAGAGGGACCCACATCCTTGGAGGTGGCCCAGCCATGTCTGCCCAGCTGGGCCCCAAGCACTACGTGCCCAGCTCCTCGTGGACGGGCAGAGGTGGCTCTCCTTTCAGTGATAGCACCTTCCTCTGTGGTCACATCCCCTCACACCCTGGGCCTGCAGGGAGGCAGCGCACATGTGGGACATCTATGGGGTGCCAGATGTGTCCTTACGTTGTGTTTTGTTGAGGTTTGCTGGGGGCGGAGGGGACACTCCTGCAGTGGGCACACCACTGACGTCCGGGGTTCCTGTGGCATCAGCAGCACCATTTGGACAGGTGCCTGCACACATTACCCAGACAGGGAAGCAAGACCCAGAGAATCCAGGAACTTGTCGAAGAAGCTGGGGTTCTAGCCACATGCGGACACCACACACAGCTAAGCAAACCGTCCTCAGACTGGCCTTTAGAATTCTGAACTTTAACCTGGCTGTGGAAAATGTTTCGCTGGATGTATTTCATTTTGAAAGGCAATTCTTAAAAAACAGCAGTGATGGCCGGGCGCGGTGGCTCACGCCTGTAATCCTAGCTCTCTGGCAGGCCAAAGCGGGCGGATTGTTTGATCTCAGGAGTTCAAAACCAGCCTGAGCAAGAGCCAGACCCCGTCTCTACTAAAAGTAGGAAGAAATTAATTGGACA